GATTTTGGGGTGAATTTGGGGTGGATTTTGGGCGAATTCTGGGTGAATTTTGGGGTCGATTTTGGGGTGGGTTTTGGGTGAATTCTGGGTGAATTTGGGGTCGATTTTGGGGTGAATTCTGGGTGAATTTTGGGGTGAATTCTGGATGAATTTTGGGGTGAATTCTGGGGTCGATTTTGGGGTGGGTTTTGGGTGAATTCTGTGTGAATTTGGGGTGGGTTTTGGGTGAATTTGGGGTCGATTTTGGGTGAATTTGGGGTCGATTTTGGGTGAATTCTGGATGAATTTTGGGGTGAATTCTGGATGAATTCTGGATGAATTCTGGGGTGAATTCTGCGCGAATTCGGGGTCGATTTTGGGGTGAATTTTGGGGTGGCCGTGTCCCCCAGCCGGGTGCTCCCTGACAAGGACACACTGCTGGAGGTGGCCCTGGAGGTGGCCGTGGCCATCGCCGCCCGCAGCCCCGTGGCCGTGCAGGGAACCAAAGTCAACCTGGTGTACTCGAGGGACCGGCCCGTCAGCGAGGGGCTGCTGCACGTGGTGGGTGTCCCTAAAACAGTGTCACCATCCCAAAACTGTGTCACCAACCCCAAAAACTGTGTCACCAACCCCAAAAACAGTGTTACCAACCCCAAAACAGTGTCACCATCCCAAAACTGTGTCACCATCCCCAAAATAGTGTCACCACCCCCAAAAACAGTGTCACCATCCCCAAAAACAGTGTCATCAACCCCAAAATAGTGTCACCATCCCCAAAATAGTGTCACCATCCCCAAAACAGTGTCACCATCCCAAAAACAGTGTCACCAACCCCAAAATAGTGTCACCAACCCCAAAAACAGTGTCACCATCCCCAGAATAGTGTCACCATCCCCAGAATACTGTCACCAACCCCAAAAACTGTGTCACCATCCCAAAATAGTATCACCAACCCAAAAACAGTGTCACCAACCCAGAAATACTGTCACCATCCCAAAAACAGTGTCACCAACCCCAAAAACACTATCACCATCCCAAAACCAGTGTCACCAACCCCAAAAATACTGTCACCAACCCCAAAATACTGTCACCATCCCAAAAACAGTCACCAACCCCAAAAACTGCCCCAGAACCACTGTCACCACCCCAAAAACTGCCCCCAAAACAGTGTCACCACCCCAAAAACTGTCACCACCCCTGTCGCATGTCGCTGTCCCCAGGCCACCTGGAACATGGCCATGCTGCAGACCGAGGACATCCCCAAGTCGGTGCAGGCGGCGCTGGACAAGAAGGGACCCGAGGACGTCCCGTTCGCCAAGCTGTGATGTCACCTCAGTGCCACCAGGGCCACCCATGGAGCCTTCCCTGAGCCCTGATGTCACCTCAGTGCCACCAGGGCCACCCATGGAACCTTCCC